ACCTTACATCCTCAAGGCATGAGCCTCAGTCCCTCCGGCGTTCAGTCTTCCAAGTGAGGTCGTGAGCTGTTGTGGCTGCAAGCGTCTGAATCCTAATCCGGGACGAAGCTTGAAGCCTTGGAATACCCGACCTAGTGCCTAGAGCTGCTCGAAGTCATGTCAGCAGCTCACGTGGTGGAAAGATTCTGGCAACTACCGGGGGATGGCACCAGGCTTCTGCATGATCAGATGCACCTTGAACCCTAAACCCCTGAACCCGAAAACCCTAGAGCCCTAAAACCCTAGAGCCCTAAACCCTTAACCCTAAACCCTAAAACCCTAAAACCCTAAAACCCTAAACCCTGAACACATTTGGGGGGGGTCCTTTGTTCGGCCTCCTAGGCCCCTTGGGGAAGGTCCACCGCCGAGAGCAGAGGCTTGGCAAAGAAGCAGTAGAGATTTTGGGGGGTTTTAGGGCTTTTAGGGTTTTAGGGTTTAAGGACTTAAGGCTTTTGGGGTTTAGGGTTTTAGGGTTTAGGGTTTTAGGGTTTAGGGTTTTAGGGTTTTAGGGTTGAGGGATGAGCTGAGTTTAAGTGTCGCAGTCATCATGACGGAGTGAGACTTGGCTACAGCGATACACGCCTGCAGGCTTGATGGTTTCAAGCTCGACAAAGAAAGAATAGCAGGAGCAGGGCTTTCTGCTTCGGTAGGGGACCCTAAACCCCCTAAACCCGAAACCCTAAACCCTAAACCCTCTAAACCCGAAACCCGAAACCCTAAATCCTACCAACCCCAAACCCTAAACCCATAAGCCTTAAACCCTAAACCCCCCAAACCCGAAACCCGAAACCCAGCCTGAGCTCCGAACGTATCACGCGGAGATCGGCTCCCAGAGGCTCGGCTCCGAGATCGGCGGAGGCCGAAGCGCCCCTGGATCCAAGGAGCCTCGCATTTGGGGCTCCAGGGGGGGTTTTGGGGGGCTGTAGGGGGTTTTAGGGGGTTCTTACGAGCTTTTAGGGGGTTTTAGGGGGTTTAGGGTGCTAAGGGGGTTTTACGAGATTCTTGTGGGATTTTAGGGGGTTTTCGGGTGCTTAGGGTTTTAGGGGGTTTTAGGGGGTTTTAGAGGGTTTTAGGGGGTTTTAGGGGGTTTTCAGGGGGTTTTTAGGGGGTTTTTAGGGGTTTTTAGGGTGGTTTTAGGAGGGTTTAGGGTTCAAGGGGCTTAGGGGTTTAGATATTACTGCGTTGTGTCTGACTTGAACTTGAGCAAGTCATCGCGCCACACGCAGATTTCTGCCTATATCTGTGCATACACATACATGCATACATACATACATACATACATACATACATACATACATACATACATACACGCACACACACACACGCACACTTATGTGCTAGCGAAAGAGCGGCTATTCAACGAGCTGCCCGAACGAGTGTGGTCACTTGGCTTCGTCATGTTTACTCATACCTGCAGTACCAGAGAATGCACCAGTGCTTTATGTTTTGTGATAATTAGCATTGTCATTAAAACTACAAGTGGTGCTACTCGTAGCAAAGTCTAACAAAGTCTACGACAAGCCTTGAAGCGTAGTCAGTCCTTCATGGAAGCCTTTTCGGCTCTGCATAGCTGCTCTTCTCAGTACCAAAAAGCTGTAGCCTGAGAGCATCCAGCGGTCTTCGGGGCTTCTCCATGCCGCTGCTGCTGAACTACCGCTTTACGTTTATCGACGCGAGAGACAGCGAAGAGGCAGCTCTGGGTGTCCAGCCTCGACGGGCACTGACACCGCCACCTCCCCGTCCCGGTCACATGGGTCACCTTGGTGAAGATGCTCATTCAGAAGAACGCGAGGTGGCACGCTGCCGAGACTACTTGAAGGACTTGATGAATGAAGGCGGGCTCGTTGGTTCCGGTGAGCATGGCCGGTGCAAACGGATGCCGGATGGAAGCAAGGATTCCAGCCACGACGCCGTAAATGCTTCCCAGGGTGCATCGGAACAAATGAGCGTTGGCAGCTTGGGCCATCCTGTCGCATGTCGTCGCCCATGTGTGCACGTGATGAAACGTGGTCAATGCCTGAATGGCAGTGCCTGCGACTTCTGTCACTTCCCACATCTGCGAGAGGCGGGACACAAGGCAGTCTCAGGTCACTACGGAGCTTCCCTAGATCGCTAGATGCTTGCGATGTGGAATCCGGCTAGGTGCTAGTCGTTGCTAGGTCATTTGCAACACGGTTTACGGAATTTCTTGCCAATGGCTGCCGTGCTTGTCCCAGGTCAAGCTGGACCGAGAGCAGCGTGCCATGATCCACCAGCTGCCGTACGGGTACTTCTTGCGGATCGTAGCCGAGATGCTGAAGACGAGAGCGGGCGAGGTCGCCAAGCCGGCCATTTGGGATGCCGTGCACCTTTTGGAGCAGGAAGCAGAGATTGCGGAATGCGCCGGAGTGGACAGGGATGTGAAGGCCATGAAGAAATTCAAGAACGGCTTGAAACATCTCAATGTGTTGAGCTTGCTTTCGTTGGCTAAGCGCAGGTGCCAAGATCATGTCTGTGAGGAACTCACGCAGATTGCTGCACAGCTCCGCTTCCGGGAATGATCAATGTTCTACATATTCTCTCTCTCTCTCTATATATATATATATCGACTTATATGTTCTGTATATGTATACATATACATACATATATATATGTGTTTCTTTATACATATATATATATATCTACGAATCTATGAATGATGCAGGGCTGCCACACCCCCCCTCCCAACCCGTCTGTGCCCTCCATTTTCAAGAAGTCCCTGGACGGGAATCTGTAGCTTGTAACATTGCATGCTACCTCCTTCGAGCTTGCTGGGACGAGACCGAGGACACAGTGTCCAGCGACCTGTCAAATGTGTCAGATCGCAGCTCGCCATTTTCCCGATTGTTTTTTCAGCAATACCCGATCCAATGATCGACCGATGCATCCACAGCCATTCCTTCTCCGGTGACAGCTGTGACAAGGGAACATTGTCAATTAATCATCACCATCATCATCATCCGCATTGTCACCATCATCATCATTCCACGACTACAACTACAACAACAACAACAACAACAACTACTACTACTACTACTACTACGACGACGACTATTACTACTGCTGCTGCTGCTGCTGCTACTACTACTACTACTACTACTTCTACTACTACTCCTACAGCTATTACTACAGCCATTACAACCAGCACGACTAGTAGTAGTAGTAGTAGTAGTAGTACTACTACTACTACTACTACGACGACGACGACGACTACTACTACATTTACCACTACTACTAGGGGTTCTCGGTTGCCTGGGGAGGCTGGGAGTGTTTATGTACGGTTGCGCTCTGAGAGTTCACGGAACTCCTTCGCGCAGAATTTGTTTGTCGGGCGCATGTCCGCTATGGCCACTGAATCTCATGCTCTGGCCACCGCTGTGGTTCCTTCAGGAAAAGGTCCGGAGGCCCTGTTTGGAGATGAATTCAATGCACCTTTCGCTGTCGCTTGCGCCAGCGAAACTGTTTCAAGGAGAACCTTTTTGCCGCAGGTGGTCTTGAGAAAACAGCCGCAAAAAAGGCGAACACAGAGGACTGTAGGACAGATGCAAAGAGAAAGGGCCCCTGGGAAGCGATCGGTTTCGGAGTTTCTGGGGGGTCCTGTCAGGGGCCATCATAAAGCGGACTCTAGTATACTCTAGTACTAGCTTGAGTAAACTCTCAGGTTGTGCCTCGATGGATTCGGGGCTTCATCAACCCCTAAGCTCTTAAACCCTAGAGAACCTAAAGCCTCGGATGGGCAAGAGGATACCTTCGAGCTCTGCCGTGCTCCGAGTGCGAGTGCTCTCAGTCAGGCGGGGCCGATTCTTTTCTATCTGTGGCGGGTCGAAGATTTTTGGATAGGGTTTGAAAGGCGTCTTTTCTAGGTTTAGGGGTTGAGGCAACAAGGCAGGCAGAGTCTCGTCTCGGAATCCTACAGCTCCCAAGCCTTAAATATTGAATCCCGTGAGGCCCAAGCCCTGAAGACCCTTCTTCTACTTCCAGCGGTCTCGATGAGGGTGGGTGAAGCCTGGAGCCTGGGGGTTTTAGACGGACCCTAAGCCGCAAACCCTGCACCTCCTTTAGGGTTTAGGTTGCAGGGCTTTGGTTTAGCTTTTGGGGGGTTCTGTCGCGGCCAGACCCGTGAATCCTCGATCCAGACCCCACACACACATACCTAAATGTAGAATTACATACATACGTGATTTAATATGTACATATATACATACATATATATATATATATATGTGTGTGTATATATTCATATTCATAAGTATAAGAATAATGGGCATAAGCATTATTATAAGTATAAGTATAAGTATAAGTATAAGCATAAGCAGAAGCAGAAGGAGAAGTAGCCTAGAGCCTAGTCCCAGGTGGATTCCACCGACGCGTCGTTTGCGAGCGAGAATCAGGTGCTCGCGGTGTCCAGAAGAGCTCTACAATGAGTTCGGTCGAGTGGTTTAGGGTTTAGGGTCAAGGTTTCTAGAAAGAACCCTAGACCCTAAACACTAAATCCTAAACCCTAAACCCTAAGCTAGAATTTGGGACCTGCTCTTGAGCAGAAGTGGGTCCTGAACTTGTCATTTCTGTGTCGTCTGCGCTTCGGAACTGAAGGGGGTCACCGGGTCCACTTCTGGCGTGCCATGCGTGCACTGCATCTTTCGGGCAAGGAGAGAAGGCTACGACTTCATTCTTCAAGTAGACTTTGTAGAGAAATTCCGATTTCCAGCATGATTTCGGGGCATCTGCTTCCGAGCTGAAGGTCTTTCAACACCGAGATCCTGCTAGAAATTCTCATCGAAACCTCCATTAACCTGAAACCCAAATCCGTACATTGTGAACCCTGCTGTGCCTTCGGACAGACTGCGCTTCACGAGAGCGGCGCGAGCTGCCGCGCCCCGGAGGCGCGTAACATGAAATAGCGAAGCACGTATTGTGGATGTTGCTCTTCATGTGGTTTGTCCGTTTCTGATGAACAAACAGATCTTCTGGATCTGATTCTTCGTGCTTGCAGCATCCTCTGTCATCATCCCCATCAGCATATTCAGTGGTGTGGTTCCCTCTGTCAACAGATTCACCGTATTATTCGTGTGAGATTTGGAAACGCAGTCTTATCATTCCCGTGCTTCACATCCTGATTTGATATCAGTGTGGGTGTTGTTTGCTTCCTGCTTATTTCTCGGTGTTGTATTTGTATTTGTGCTGGCGGAATCGCGGGTTGTTTTGGTTCTCCATCAGACTGCCATACACTCATGGCCAGTACTTCGGCTTAATTGTGACGGCTTAATTGTGACAGCGTCTGTTTGATTATTGTTGGTGTCATTGCTGCTGCGCCGCTGTTGGAGGTGCTGGCGGGGATGAAGATGTTTGAAGCCATGAAGACGATGGCGATCATGATAGTCATGAGGGTCATAGCATGGGGATTGTGGAAAACATGATGGTGATGACTCTGGTGATAATGCGATGACGTTCATTGTAATGGTGACGATGGTGATGATATTTCAAGTGATGATGAGTCATGGTGGGGATGATGCTGATGTTGTTGTGCTGGGATTCTCGGATGATGGTGGTGTGATTGACCATGTTGTGCATTTGTTCCGATATTGATGATAACGGTGATCGTTTCGTGGCCGACAGAGGCGGGAAGATTTGCAATCGGAGCATCAAAGGTGCACCTCTCGCAATTTTGGTGCGAACGAGAGAAATGAGCATCAAATTCAAGTGGCAATCCAGCTGCTGTGACAGCTGTGTCAGTAAGTGTAGCAGTGTAGCAGTACGGTTGAGTTTGCCGAGGGTCAAAGTAGCTGTGGCCGTGGAACTTCGCGCAGTGACGGGCGCATTCAGATTCTTCCTTCTCGGAGAGATTCGTCTGATTCCTTGAAGGTCCCAGAACCCAGGGCTCCGGTGTGCCAGACCTCAAGAGTAGAACACAGCATCGCTATTTGGGATTTTCGAAAATTAGGGGTACCTTATTTTGAGGTCCTTGTAATAAGGATCCATCTTTTTAGGGTACTACATTAGGGTCCCCTATTTTCGGTAACCCCCGCATTAAGACCATGAGAGCAACTAACGATGATACTAGTGATAGCAACAAGAATAATACGAATAGTCGTTATGCTAATATATAGAATAACATTGACATAGAATGGCCCAGCAAAGATCTTCTTCTCCGGGTCTGATTGGGTGTCGGTCTTCGGTTGAGCCGGCCTCCAGGCAGGTGGTTGAGGATCTAGGGTTTAGGGTTTAGGGTTTAGGGTTGAGGGTTTAGGGTTTAGGGTTTAGGATCTACGTTTTCCATCGGCTTGCTTTTCTGAACTTGCTGTCCTCCAGATTTTCGCAGCTCTTGTAGTCCGGGTCGCGGAGCTCCGGATGTAAACCCAAAGCTAAACAGAGAGGATAGTGATTAAGTAAAACAGGTTTCAGTACAGTGAGCAGTTATTGCTCTTTACAGACAAGACTGTCATTGATTGGCTCTGCACGGCAGGTGCAGCTGTTTTCGCCAACGGACTCGTCTCCATTCTTTGAGACCGAATGCTGTCCAGCTGGGAAGGACGTGGCGGGGTTGTCGCGCAAATTTACAGGTTCGGATAAAGCAGCGAGCACGTCTAGATCAACCAGTCGGCACGTCCAACTCGCTGGATGTAGGGTTCTTGTTATTCTTCTACTTCTTCTTCTAAAAAATTTGCTGCACGATGTTCCTTTGCCGTGTTCTGCAGCATGTCTGTTGCTTTCCTTGCTGTTACATAGGGCAATTGGCGCCCGCTCGGGTTCTCCAGGAGTTCTGTGGCGGCTGCGCCAAGATGAACGCCGGGAAGTCTGCTTGCGAGGTTTGCAGTGGTGGCTTCACTAAGACCAGCGGCCTTGCTGCACTGGATGTATGCCCATGCCGATGCCGGAAAGGCTAATTAAATAGTTTTTCTGTCAAATATACGGGTTCCGTACATACGGTCAGTCTTCCTACTCCTGCTGCTGCTGCTGCTGCTACAACCAGAACCACAACAACAACTGCTTTTCTGGTTCCTCAGGGCCACGAGATCTAGTGTTCACTAGGATGCAGCAGTGAACTTCCAGCTGTCAGGCTCTGGCAAGTGTGTGGCTTGTGTGGATCTCCCTGGATGGGTGAACAAGGCACGAGACCGTAAGTGGGCGGGCAGCCATCAGCAACACTGGCAGGTCGTGATGGCGTTGCTGGTGGTGGTGGTGGTGGTTGCTTCTGCTGTGGGCGATCACATTTGTCGTACCGTAGTGGTAGTCGTCGTGGGTACTTGCGATGGCGTTGTGGTGATGGTGGTGGCTGGAGTGATTCTAGCTGCCGTAGTGCCGTCGACTGATGATTATCGTGGTTGTGATTGTTTCGCGTTATCGTAATAATGCAGAGGGACGCTGTGGCCCTTTCTAATAATAGTGGTAGCAGCAGTCGTCGTCGTCGTCGTAGTAGTAGCAGCAGTAGTAGTAGTAGTAGTAGTAGTAGCAGCAGCAGCAGCAGCAGCAGCAGCAGTAGCAGTAGCAGAAGTA